TTTTTTTTCCTCTTTGCTCCTCCACCATTTTTTTTTTTACATTTGACCCATCCGTTTAATAATTGTTTTTCTCTTTTTTGCTCATTTTTACGCCACCGGCCCTTTTTAATAAAAAAGGTTATGATTATTGTTTATGATCTCTGACACCCTTTTGATTCTGAATATCAAACTATAATATTGACGGCTATGATTATGTTTATTCCAAATATCAATATAAATATATTAATTCCTTGATTATGATTAGGGATATTATTTGGTCGGTTTAATCGACTATTAGTTTGATCGAATCAGTTTGATTGGTTTAATCTATTAACAGAAGCAAAGAGAAAAAATGACTAAAGAAGAAAATAAAAGGTAAGTAATAAAATGAGGGGTGAAAATGTCACAAATAAATCTGTTGGTTTAAATAAGGAGTAAAGTGAAAAAAAAAAAAAAAGTTATAAACTGTTCATGGAATGCTTTATGGTTTAATTGGATCACGATAATCAGCTTCCGGTAAAAATTAAAATACACTTAAAATTTAAGTGAGGACATACTTTTTTTTTTGAAAAAAGCACGTACACATCGGTTTCTTTAACAATCGAAAATAGTTCAATACATATCGATTGAAGGCAAACGGGCAACAAGCTGCGCCGCTAACCCTTTCTGGATGGCAAAACCAATTCTTTTGAAAACAACATTTGTGGATGTAGGAGATATGACATTAGAATGCATGACCCGTTGGACTCTATTAAGGAGCTCCACCGCCTCTGGTGCGAGAAAACCAAATGTATCGAATGCAAAAGAAACAAATACATACTTGTCATGACACTTATGATTTCAGTGGATTTATCAAAATTCTCAGTGGAAGAATCAACGGCCATTTATCCTCGTATTTATCTTAATGTTGTTGCATTCAAATGTTCAAGGAATGCATCATCATCACTCATTTATTAGATTTCCTTAAAATGCCATATCGATCCGACCCCATCTCCATTGACACATTCACGCAATTTGGATATCACAATCGTCTAACTATTGGTATCACATAATTTATTTCTGAAGTAAATCAAATGAAAGTTGTACTAAATTTTATCAGAAAACAAAAATAAATATGTCCAACTGATCATCCAGTTAAGTTATATATATTACAATATTAAATCCAACATTGACATTTTACATTACGTCTTTCTGGTAACCAATTATTTTAAATTTCTTTTGTAATAATCTTTTAATTTTCTTTTCCTTTATATAGCTAGATTGTCATGAAGAATACAATTCAAAGTGTAATAAGTCCTTTGTGGAAAAGTAGGACATTCGCTTCTACATCAAAGACACCCCTTCTGGAAAAATATGAAATTGCCATAAATTAGTTTTTCAAATAAAAGGAAATGAAATAAACAAGATAAAAGGGCTGCTCAAGTATAAATTAGGATACCCAAACCCTCATTTTTCAAAAACACAACATGGCAAAGAAAATAATGTCTTCTTCAAACTTACTAGCTTTCTCTCTAACTCTACTAATCATTATAGTACTCTTGCCAATACCAAATTCTGCTTATGCTTCTTTGGAATAATCTTCTTAAATGGAAAGCAAGCCTTGAAATCCCAAATAATTTGTTATTCTCTTCATGGATTCTCCTCCCTATGAATTCCAGTGCATCGATCCCATGCACTTCTTGGTTCGGAGGAGTTTGCAATGCTGAATGGTTCAGAAGTTGAACCTCACGTCATCTGGATTACAAGGTGTTGGTGATTTTACATCACTAATATTATTTAAGTGTAATATGATTAATTTGTTGATACCCAAACCCTCATTTTTAAAAGTGTACTGCTATTTAGGGACGAAGCAAACGGGGTCTGGGGGCAGCGTCCCTGGGAGCGGGGTCTAAGGGGCAGCAACCCCTAGCGGGATCCAATGGCACAGCCCGTGGCTGGGTCAAGTTGTCATGTGGCTATATTAAAAATGCATAAAAAATCCGGATTATCGGTAAATGCACCCGTTTTTGTGATCCATATTCTAGACCCGGATTTAAGTTGGTTTATGATCGTTTTTGGACAGTTTTAGGACATAAAACTGTCATGTGGCAGTTTTAAGACCGAAAGTTTTTCTTGTCATATGATCATTTTAGAAATCAGTTTTGCTACTCTTCTTCTTCATAACATCTTTAATATTCTCTCTTCTATTTCTCTGATTTTCTGAGTCTTATCCGATTAAAGATTGAGACTACCACCCAAATACTTGAATCTGAAAATGTTATACACAATTCTCAGGATTTCCAAGTGTTTTACCCCTCTTTTCTAACACGAGGTACACTTCAACAAATTTCATTCTTTTTCCTACAAAATCTTACACATTTTGATCTCACTGTAAACAACTTCTTTGGCCCTATCCCACATCCGACTCCTGTCCAAACTTGTCTATCTTGATTTTTCAGAGAATAAGTTTTCTGGTGAAATCCCACCTGAAATAGGAAGCATGATCACACTTGAGTTCCTAGACTTATCCTCAAACAATCTATCAAGCTCAATTCTCCCTTCAGTATTGGGTGCTTTGACATCTTTTATTTGTCCTTTCTTTGTACCAAAATCAACTCTCAGGTGCCATTCCTATTGAACTTGGGAATTTGAAATCTCTCACTTTTCTTGAGGTGAGCATGAATCAGCTTAGTGGCACCATTCCTTCATCACTAGCAAACTTGAGCAACCTACAACATTTGTACCTTGATGAGAACAATTTATCTGGTACCATTCCTATTGAACTTGGGAATTTAAAATCTCTCACTTTTCTTCGGGTGAGCAAGAATCAAGTAAGTGGCAACATTCCTTCCTCACTAGCAAACCTGAGCAACCTATATCGTCTGAATCTGGCTCATAATAAGTTATCTGGTCCCATTCCTATTGATCTTGGGAAATTGAAGTCTCTCACTAGGCTTCTCGTAAGCAACAATACACTTAGTGATTCTATTCCTTCATCAATTGCAAATCTGAGCAACCTACAATTTCTGTTCCTCGATCAGAATAAATTATGTGGTCCAATTCCTATTGAACTTGGGAATCTGAAGGCTCTCACTAATTTCCATGTGAGCCAAAATCTACTAAGTGGTTCGATTCCTTCCTCGCTAGAAAACCTCAGTAACCTACAGTGTATGTACCTATAAAAGAATAATTTTTCTGGTCTCATTCCTACTGAACTTGGGAATTTGATGTTAGTGAATGTACATGTACTCATGTAGCACATCTTGTATGCAGCCCACATAGTTTGTATATAGCCCATATATTAGCCTTATTGTAATCATGTATATATACCTTGTATCTCTCGTTATATGCAGACAATAAGATTCAATTGGTGATCATCCTCAATATGGTATCACATCCTACCTTCCCTAATTCCTCTCCATAATTATCTCCATTCCTTTTCTTTTCAACTTAAAACAGGCGGCTACCCTGGCATCCATTGCATCTCCGCCGACCACCCTATTCTTCATCTTTTTCATTCACGATGACGCCTCCTATATCACCACCTCATAAAGTTTTTAGCATCAACAATATCAATCTCACTTACCTTTGATTCTCGATCTTGAAAGGCTCAATTACGACTCTTGGCGCCATCTTTTCTCCACCTTCTGTGAAGCTTACTATGCTTCTGATCATATCAACAACACTTATGGCGAAACCACTTCGGCTCCTACCACACCTGAATGGAAGAAGGTGGATGCCGTTGTTCAAATGTGGATTTTCTCCACTCTTTCTCAACCACTTCTCGACATGGTTCTTGTTCCCGAAGCAAATTTGAAGTCTCTCACTGTAGTAAGTAACAATCAACTTAGTGGTTCTATTCCTTTATCTCTAGCAAACCTGAGTAACCTACAGCTTCTGTACCTAGATGTGAATAAATTATCTGGTCCCATTCCTACTGGACTTGGGAATTTGAACTCTCTTACTGATCTTGACGCTAGCCAGAATAAGCTTAGTGGCAGCATACCATCAGAGTTTAAAAATTCAACTCAATTATGGAGGCTTGATCTTTCTTCCAATCAGTTGGTAGGTGAAATCCCTGTGGAATTTGGGAAGATGAAAAGTATGCTGAATTTGTACTTGTCTAATAACCAACTTTCAGGCACTATACCTCTGGAGCTTGCATCATTCCATGAACTCCTTGTACTAGATCTATCCACAAACAGATTGAATGGATCGAGGCCCAGAAGTATTGGTCAATGGGTACAAATCAATTACCTGAATCTTAGTAATAACAAGCTCAGTGGAAAAATCCCGTCCGAGATTGGTAAATTAGTTCATCTTGAGAAACTTGATTTATCTTGGAATTTGTTCACAAAAGAGATACCATCTGAAGTTCAAACTTTACAAACTTTGCAGAAATTGTATCTTTCCCACAATATGCTATCTGGTTCTATTCCTAATGCTTTTACAAATTTGCATGGTGGAATTGATATTGACCTGTCTTACAATGAGCTCACAGGTCCGGTTCCACAGAGCCCCAACTTGTTGAATGCGTCCGTACAAGGCAATCCATGTTTGTGTGGAAATGTTACGGGAGTGAAACTTTGTACAAGTCAAATTATGAAGAAGAAAAACGATCCCTTTCGTCAGAAGCTCATCCTTGTAATTATGCTCCCCCTTATAGGGGTAGTCTTACTTGGTTTATTCACGTATGGATTCATTGCTTATCGACAACAATGGAAAAAGTCTCCACGTAAACCATTGGAAGAAGAAAGTGGTGATTATTTCCATATTACAAGTTTTGATGGTAAAGTAGTGTTCGATGATATCTTGAAGGCAACAAATGATTTCAATGAAGCGTACTGTATAGGGACAGGAGGATATGGTATTGTTTACAAGGCTAAGCTACAACCTGACAATGTGGTTGCTGTCAAGAAACTTCATTCATCATCCGAGAATGTTGATCATAGTGGTTTCCTTAATGAGGTACGGGCATTAACGAACATAAGGCACCGAAACATAGTGAAACTCTATGGATATTTCTCCCATGCCCGCAACTCAATTTTGATTTATGAATACCATGAAAAGGGAAGCCTTGGATCAATCTTAAGAAGCGATGTCTTGGCAAAAGAATTGGATTGGTTGAAAAGAGTAAATATTGTAAAGGGTATAGCTAATGGTTTGGCTTATATGCATCACGATTGCACACCTCCTATAATTCATAGAGACATTTCCATATCCAACATCCTTCTCGATTCTGATTATGAGGCATGCATTTCTGATTTTGGCACATCCAAGCTTTTAAAGCTAGACTCATCAAACTGGACCACAGTAGCAGGAACCTATGGTTATATCACTCCAGGTAACAAAATCTTGTGATTGTAGTTCTACATCTTCTTAAGTTTCACAATGTACATAAATATGTATCTACGACTCTACGTTAGAATCATGTGAGGTTGATATGTGATGTGTATAGCTTTGGAGTTGTTGCACTAGAAGTGGTCATGGGAAAGCATACTGGAGAACTCATAACATCTTTATCAACATTATCAGATGATCATCTGGTGTTAGCAAATGTGGGAGACAGTCGGATACCGCCTCCCTCATCCCAAGTTGAGAAAGAAGTTATGTCAGTATTGAGAGTCTCAAGAGCATGTTTGAACTACAATCCACTTGAAAGGCCATCGATGCACCAAGTTTCAAATCTGTTGATGAAGGCCTAATATAGTGTACTTTCAATGTTCTTTATTTTTCTGTAGTTTCCTAGGATGCACCCTATGATATTTATGCAGTTAGATGCCTTCTTGTTAAGATACTACAGATATGTTTTCTTATACCCGCATTTAAATGCTTTCTTGTTAAGATACTTGTTAGATACTACTACCGATATGTTTTCTTGCATCAGCATTTAACTGCCTTCTTGTTAAGATACTACTGATACGTTTTCTTATATCAGCATTTATATTCCTTCTTGTTAAGATACTCT